ATTATACTCTGAAAATATTTCTGATTAAATCAATGTAAGGATGTTTTTTATGGAAGGAATTCAAATCATTCATATATTATAGATGGCAGATAAGTATAGGGAAATAAATTATCGATCTGAGTAAAAGTTTATCATCGGTGTATATACTTATATGTTATATGCGTTTTTGTGTGTGGCTAATAGCAACCAGAAGAAATATATAATTACAAAGTACAAAGTAAAAAGTTTAGAAGGCAATAAATGTATATTGTGTTACCATTTTCTTTCGATAGACTAAATATGAGTTTAACGTTAACTATAGTAACAAAACATTAACTTGATGCTTGATATGTTTTAAAATAGAGGGACTGAACATAAATAGAAGTGCTTTTTATGAAACATGAGTCGTGAGGTAGCCAAAAGTCAATTTATCGACTAAGTAATTAATCAAACAGGAATGTAAGGAAATATGATTAACGACCTTAGGTAGCCTAGGTCATTATAGTATTTTATCTTGTTCTGATGAACTAGAAACATAATGTCCCGATCCTGTTAGTATTTTTCTAAGGCTTGCTATTTGTTTAAATATTGTGTTCAAGTGTGAAACTGTTTCTTTTTTTGTACTAAACATGAAATTGAAACGTTGAGCTGGGAATAATCACTATCAATCATAAAATGACCCAGTATCTATCAACGTTTCGTCAGTTTCTCTTAACAGTTGTCCTATCATTTATCAGCTTGCTTTGCCAATTGAGTTCTCATGTATAATCACCAATTGAGTTGAAGTTTATTTGAAGGTAGAGTCAGCTGAGCATTCACAAACCTATGACAATAAGTCTTGAAGACGAAATAAATCACTTCTACGCACTTACTTATAATTAAAGTATACAATAAATTATAGAGATGCACACAGTAGAATACTAATCCACAGATTACGTAGAACAATCACATTTAATCCTAAGAACTAGAACTAGTGTTTTCCACGCACTCGATTGTGAAAGCATGACTAACGATGAAACATCTACGACAGCCATTTTATTTTGTAGTTAATAACTGGACTGCTCTTGCGAAACAAGCTATGGCAGCCAAAGTTCTAGAAATTTGCATTCTCATGTTCGTCAACATCTCTCAGCATAGCTAAAAAAAGGTGTTGTGAGGACAGTGAACATTTCAATACAGGCCCATTTAGTGCAAACTAGTCATTGTGCCAGTTGAAGTCGTTCTCATTAATTCATCAGCCTAGGATTTTCTCCGAATGTCACTCTACCTGAAAGTCATTCGGATCGAAAACAGGAACTACATGTTGAAAGAAAATATGTCCAACCTCTTCCTCTCTTAACCTGACCAACCTCATGGCCAAAAAAACAATAATAATCCTAAATATAGAATGCCCCAAATTGCACACAAACTGTCTTTGTAAAATATTTTGTTTATTTTTATCCACATTTCCTTACATAATTTTTATTGGTACAAATTCACCGTTAATCTTACCAATCATTTTTTTAGCATTAGTCTTATTGGATTCATATTTCATCGTACACCGTAGTCTTCCAATAAACATTTAACTGTATTTGTAATTACTCTATGTTATCTATATTTATTCTTGATTATTAATATCTCACAATCACATTTAATGTATAAACCTATTCAAGTTAAAACTGGGTATTAGTCATTTCAAGATTAAGAAATGTAATTTATTTTACAAAATGTCCGAAATTCACATTCTACAATTGTAAACAATGTATTTGTTGGTATATTCAAGTAAAATATCCCAAAAATTATTCTGTTACGTCTAACACTATCCTTGGACTCGAAATGGTGTTGTTTTCTTATTGGTCAATGTTTATTCCACGTGTCATTTTCCTACTGGTCAATATTGTACAATGTTATTTTCTATTTTATGGTACGATGTGGTCTGCTTGATTGGTATATAAACAGAGTATGTTTGAAATATAACGATTCATACCTCTACGGCTGAGACTTGCGTTCTGGACTCAACTGGCTGGGCTAGACAGGGAAGCGGGACCAATCAGAACTGTAGGCTGTTCTTACGTGTTTGCGCGTCTTTGGTCCGATCGATAATTCGTTGTCCTCTAATCTGCCGTCACAGTTATAGCAGTATTTTTTTTTACCTCAAATCGAGTCACATTTTAGATTATCAATTTAGGCGTAAAACTGTAAAAATTGATGCTGTCTGAGTGGTCTAGAGGTTAAGCGTTCTCGCGATAAAAGGTCCTGAGTTCGCGTCTCTCATGTGGTCTGATTCGTAAATTCATCTGTTGAGAAGAACATCTTTTTTCTCATATATAGTATTGTGTTTGAACAGATATTTTATTAATCTACTTTTGTAGCCCAATTACACAATTATTGACTATTGTTTGTTTCAGTATATGGAGATGATTGTTGAGTTTTACTGAAATCATAAGTTGACCAATATTTGACCACCATTGATATCTTGAAAAGCCTGAATGGCCGTTTCTTCCTAGCAGTACGTGTCCATAAATGACAATAAATAAATAATAAATAATTTATATTTTAGTTAAATTTCTATTTATTTTACAAATAAATAAATAAATAACAGGATACTGATTCACATCACTAACATGGTAAACAATTATAAATTTATCTAGATGTATATTCATTATTTAACTACAATCAATCAAAAGAAAATAAAAATAGTTTGTGGAATAAATTTATTCAATCAAACATTATAAATATAACAATAATCATTATTATTATTATCATCACTTAATTTGTTTGTATTTTACTATTCATCTACTAGCATATTTGATATACATAACATTAGAATGAATACAGTAGTAAGTACTAGGATAGTTGTAATATCGAGATTGAGGTTAATTTATAATATAAAAAAAGAACAAGAAAACAGAAAACAGAAACAAATATTTGTTCAGAATAATAAAACGCAGAATACTAAAGAGTATGATTTATTACAAATAATGATTGTCATATTAAAATATAATTTTATTAAATGTTATTAACAATTGTTGAAATAGTAAACAATTAATGTACTACTGAATTTTCATCATGTACATTAACTAACTACATGTAAACGTTGTATAAGATGTGTTTATTTAGGAAAGAAGCAATTGATAACATGCATACACAACTATAACCCATTGTGATTATTATTATTATTATTATTATTATTATTATTATTAGTAGTAGTAGTAGTAGTAGTAGTAGTAGTAGTAGCAGTAGTAGTAGTAGTAGTAGTAGTAGTAGTAGTAGTAGTAGTAGTAGTAGTAGTAGTAGTAGTAGTAGTAGTAGTAGTAGCAGTAGTAGTAGTAGTAGTAGTAGTAGTAGTAGTAGTAGTAGTAGTAAATAATGAATAAATTAATAGAACGAAGAATCAAAAATGAACCAATAGAATTGGTATTAAGAAACCAAAACAAAACAAAAAACGTTGTGTATAGTGATATTTTTCAACTGATTTACTTGGTTAAACTAATAATTTATATATATATATATATATGGGATGGGTGGATTGTTTTGTGTATTTACTTCCATACACTAAATTTATGTTGCTACAATTTCATTAAAAAAATAAATCAGATTTAATAAACAAATAAACCAACACACACACACACAAACACAATCGTTGATGTATTGTATAATGATAGGATAAACTTTCAACAAAAAACGAAAGAATAATCAGTGTAGTGTTTTTATATTTTTCATTGATCAGTAGACTTGACTGATTCATTCATTTCATCACAGTCTGAAGATATGAAAAACTGTTCCGGTAATTTTATTCCACTTGTATCAATGTTTATATTACCTGTAATACAACCAGATAACGGTTGTGAACCAAGTAGAGCAACAGAATTAACTGCAGCTAATGCCTAAAATGAAGTGTTGAGAAAAAAAGAATCAGCCAGCTATATATGGATAACTGCATATGTAGTACATTTAATTGTTCAATTGAGTTGAATCAGAATTAAGGATTAGGACAAATACGATATTTGTTTAGTATTCAAGGCGTATTCATCCGTCTGTCAGTCAGTTGATCAGTCATAACGTAGAATCCAGTACATATGTACAGTGGTTCAAGTTGCCATACATTATTAGCACAGAAACATGAAATTATCAGGAGAAAACCCAGAATAGCAGAGGCAGTGACAGTGTCAGTTGGGATATAAAGACTGGTCATCGAACACACGATTATTGAAGATATAAATTAGTGAACTGAAAACATAAAAGAAGTTATGAGAAATTCAAGAGCTCAAAATTTCTAACAAGACAAAAGAATGGATACATTTGTGACATTGCAAAATATTTTGAGCCATATCATCCAAAGTCTTTAAAGTACTGTATACGATAATAACGAGAAATCCAACCACGTGGACTACACCTATTAACACGTCCATATTCAATAGTCAATAACTTAGTAGACTGATGCCATGTTTTGGTTTCAATCCCCTTAGCTTTCTTCCAGCTTACTCTCAGCCAGTAAACATCACCCATCTAGGTAGGTGGTAGGCAACTATACATGTCAAAACTACATCACTTTATGAATATTTAATCCCCCATCAATCAATCTGTCATCCCTAAGTAGTACCCTATAGGTTGTAATCTATGGACGAATCAATTTCGGTACCTGATGCTCACGAACGATCGGTCGACAGAGGATTTTAGAGATGTGATAACTGAGCGGCTACAACAAATGGGACCACTAAGGAGTTACTTTATTTGTGATTGTGGTAATCAAATGATTTGTGGACCTTGTGAAGACTACCGTGATGTTGTCTTTCGATGTAATATATGTTGGAGGAAGAAGTCTGTTGGAATAGGAACTTTTTTCGCTCGATCCAGATTGAGGCTAAGGCAAATTATGGTAATCATTGCGAACTGTACAATAAAAGCACCAGTAACATTGGCTGCAACATTCACAGATTTTACTGAAGCTTCGGCTCTTCAGTGGTATAAGTATTGTAGAGATATATGCGTAATAAAAATGACAAACTTGCACAACAGAGTGCACACAAACAATATTGATCGGGGCTGAAAGAGTTTTGCGACAATATCATGGCTCCAGAGGCCGACTATTCTGGGGCCATATGGATGAGTTCCTCTACCGTGTGCATTAAGATTTTAGAACCTCTGAATCTCTTTCTAATCTTGACAAGTCTTTGAATCATGTAAACGACGTATACCCATTTGAATTCTTTCGTTTTGTATAATAAATTTTTACTCTATACTGTTTCCTGAGTGGCTAACATTTTCAAGGTCATTTGGGATCCCTTCAAAGGTCATTCATAAACTATAGTCTCGCCGTACCTTACTCCTAGCCCAGACATAGATTACTCAGTTTCTCATCCAAAAAGTAGATTGGGGTAAATTGCAGCGCAGTGAACTTGTCTTTGGTTCTGAGACGGACATCTCGACTACTCCACAAGTGACGCAATTCGGCAAGACCCGATAGAGCCTTTTGAATCAGTGCCAAAATTTCGTCAGACACGAGAACACCAGGACTGATGAGACTCCTAATACAAGCGACGCGTCTGATGCATCCAAAGACTTCACTCCTTATCATTTATTCAACTGCTCACGCAGGTCAATCCTGAAGTAACTTTTCGCATCTGAGAGGAAAGAACCAAATACCAAACTGTAAATATCTCAATCATATAGGGATTCAGTCACAAGCCATATAACTTAATGGTAATGTCTCAGAATATGAGACAGGAGGAAGATCATGGGCTCCAACTCACCGGATGGCACCACTTTCTAAAGATTGTAGACAGGCCTTAGCTAATAAGTACCACCCAGCACGAAACAAAGCCTAGGTCTCGGATTTCCTGTCGACAACTTACAACCACCTACAATTTCAACGTAGTGTATCCAATGTAGAGTCAGCTAGATCTCTGATCTCATTGTAACTTGATCAACAGGAGTCATTAGGTACAAAGGACTCAACGATTATCTGATGCGAATTTCGTTACTTATTGAGTATTATCAATGAAAAAAATAATAGTCGGGTTACATCATGAAACAATTGTAATCAGTATTGCGAATCAATAAATACCAGCCAAATAACGTGCTTTAACGTAAGCATGTTATCATACATGTATGTAGATTACTGAAGACAATAGAAAAAATCGAAACAGTTTCATAGTATACTCTCCGATTTCCATTGTTTTATCAATTGACGAAACGAGTCACATTCAAAACATGCTGAATGATAAGACTCTAACTGTAGCATGAAAAAATATTTGTCATTAAAAATATCAGTCAGACGGACCGATCGGATTGATGACAGAGCCTTTTCATCTCTTGTAGAAATTTAAAACGCTATGATGAATGGCTTTTGCCTAACTAATAGTTAAGCAAAATTTACCAATATTTCAATAGCAAGATGTGTAAAACTAACAACGGGAGCTCTAATATAGTGACCGAGGCAATTTAAGGGCTTTTGAGATTTGAAATCATTTGAAAATGCTATATTCTATGTGGTTGCAAAACATTCTATATCTGGTATACTGCCACTGATTTTTCTAAATTTTTAGCTATTCATTAAATATTCACATTAGTATAATAAACACACTTCGAAATTCCCATACAAACGTTAGAGTTGAAAAAATAAATTAACCACAAAAATAAAACGTGTTAAATATATGTTTCGCATTTAGAACTGCACACTTAACAAAATAAATGCAGGATTATGTAATTTGAAGCAACTAAAGTTCTCAATTTCCTTCTCAAGTAAATGCACACATAACCGGAGACAGCAGAAGCAAGAGGGTATGTTATTATCCTTCTAAATGTTTGCTGTACCGTTTAATTAGACTGTGTACATTAGACTGTTTATTGGAATTCAGCCCAGGAGAACCAGCTCAATATTTGGACCTAAAGCAATGTCTACTTCAGCGAGGTTATTAGAAGTATGACTGAAGCCCTCAGTTACACAAAGCGTGAATTGTGCTAGTCCTACATTGAATAAATAAAGTCAAGTTAGTGACCATACATGGATCCACATCACCAAAAAGGAAAAAAATACAAATATTTAGGAATATTTAATATCAGTATACGTGTATTTGTAGAAATTATAGAAAAACAAAATAGCCGTCCAATTCTTGAGGGTTTTCAACGGTTTAATTAGACCTCAATTAAAACTATGAAAACATATAAGTAAAAACAATTATGTTTACTTACTGTTTGACTTGCTGACAATAATGCAGCAGCGTTGGCTGGATTAATATCTGCATTGCTGACGACTCGTTTTACTACTTCTTTTGTATGAGCATGTGTAAGTTTTTCAGCAACATTTAATTTACTTTGAAAGAATTTAGTATCATCTATAACACCAGCAGCAGCCAGACCACTTTTAAGTGAACTATTTAATCCATAACCTAATTGTAATTGACTGCCTTCTATGGTAGTTGGTCCACCAATCGCTGATGTATAAAGATTGCCACCAGCTTCATTAATACGTGACTCGTTAGATTTAATCATTGATATAAATTCAGCGCGATGTTGTTTATCGGCTGGTCCCCATTCATGTACAGGTTTTAGGAATTCTTTTAATAACTATTCAAAGAAAAAAGAAAAAAACTATTTGTCTAAATTTAATTGTTCTTAAATAGACAAACGTAACAATAATAATTTTGCTAATATCGCTAAATGTTTCAAGTTGAACAACTATTGATAACCAAGAGTCATTGAACTGTTTCGTCCTAGTATTGAACTTCACAGCCATGCAAACGAATTGAAGTTAGGTATGTAGATCATTGGCTGAAGGCTTATTGACCTAGAGGTCAGGCATCTGCCACGAGAGCTAAAAGTTTAAAACTTACAGGTTGGTTTTTGAAGGAGATCCAGAATAGAAAAAGTTGGTTGTAAAACACTTCTTGATTTTCAATGACAGTCTAACTAAAATTAATTAGTGGTGCAAACTTTAGAACTCAATAATCTCCACAAATTGCTTGTAGTATTAGTGTTAAATTTCACAACGAAATAAGAAATACTTGAAAAAGAATCAGATGGTATAAATTGAACTATTGTTTTTCACAAGTTTGAGATTACTCCAAGTTGAAAACTTATGGCCATACATATAAACACGTAAGAATTTTTACTTTGAATACAATTGTCAAACAAAACATCACAATACTTCCTTGATTATTACAAATGTATACATAAAGACAAAACGGAGACAATGGCCTACCGATAGCAAAATGAAGAATCAACAACTATGTACTGTTTTCAAATGAATCATTTTCTAGTTAAATCCATTGATAAAAATGATGTGTAATTTTATTTATTCAACATGAAACTGAGACATTCATGGTTTTTTTTCAGTAGTTATTTTTATAGTTTACGATCTTATATTTATTTACTTGAGCACATAAATACTGGTTCAGGGAGGCACCAAATAAAAATGCTCCACACTTCATCATTCGACTTGTGTGAGGGTTGGGATAATGCCCATGTGCTCAAATCGAAGCAGGGAGCCACTAATCCTGGAGCTTTTGACATAGAGGTTTTATCCACAATGCAGTGGAGCAATATTCGGAGATGTAATGGTCGTAGAATAATAAGAATTAAAATGTACTTATTTTATTTAATATAAAGTATATAATTGATGTGAAGTTATACAACTTAAAAAAATAATATGAATCATATACTTACAATTAGTTATGCAAAAACATAGATATAAATAATCTAATCTCAGTGATTAAAATTTAAAACTGTTCTAATAATTCATGGAAAATAATTCAAGTTAAAAATGATCACAGAATAAACTATAATTGTCTAATATTATTAACAGAAGAGACAGAATTCAGTAAATTAATCAGTGGTAAATGGTGATTATCAAATTAAAAAACATGGATTTTAATAATTAACCTGTCTATACTACCTGGATTTTGTTCCTAATAAAAAGTTACTTCTTAGGAGTTCAAGTGAGAAACCGTAACCAGTGGAGTTCAACCATGTAGCATATGAGGCAGACAATGGAAGATGGTTGCACAATGTTGTGGATTGGTTGAAGTTAGACATTAACATCGTCGAACGACAGACTATCAGTCTAGAGGTTAAGCGTTAGCACGCGTTATCGTGGATGTACACTTCTGAAGAGTCTCATACTAGGACGAGACGACCATCTAGTGCTCCCAAGTTTTCAGTGGTGGTCTGACATCTTATTTAAAACTCAACAATCCCCAAAACCCTATACTGATAAAATGTAACACATTATTTATCTATGATTGTCTTTAATTTAACATCTTAATGAACTATGCGACGCTTAAACATAGAATATTTTTTTTCGACGATATCATTTCCCATAGCTGTACAATCGTATTCATAGGTACTTTATTTTTTCTTGTGAAACAGGTTACATTGGTCGTACAAAGAACGCACTCGGTAAAGAAATATTCAAGTGGTGTATAGTTATTTAAAGTAGCATACAAATCAATCAAGAGCTCAGTCGTCAGACAGATAGTCAATTCAGGTTACAGCTCGCCACACGCTTCTACGCTAAAAATCCTCTACAACATAAGAACTAGCTGAAACAACGTTCGAATGAGGAATTTATACACAGTCAAGGCCATAGCAATTCGCCATTTCAAACTTGGACTGTGTACAGAAGTCATGTTCAACTCCTTATTTTGTCATGGTCTTAGAACCCCTTCGAATTTTACAAATTATAATTCCTAATTATTATCTTCTTTACTAAGTAGACGGTCAACTTCTACTCTATAGATTACTACTTATTTCGAAATTATTACATAACATAAGCTCTTAATGATTGATGATTACTTTTTGAAGTGATGTAACCTTTTTTTTAGTACTTGAATACTTGGATTACATTAGAATAACACCTTTTCATTTGTAAATGATTGTTTGAAATACTTTAAAACTTTTAATATGCTTGACTACTTTATCACGCAACATCACTTCATTTTGATTGACTTTCACTGGAATAAGTTTAAATATATTTGATGGTTATCTAAAACTCCTCTATTTTACTATACGACTATTTTCAATTATGACACACTTTGACTAAATTAATTAACTCATAAGTACCATCAGTAATATGGAAAGCAAGACGATGAATTTATCTTTTCTAGCAGTCAGAGACATTATTCCTCACAGTATTTTTTTTAACGACAATAGCATATGGATATGTATACAGACAGGGATTCATGCACTTTTTTCACACTGTAAACGATTTATACATCAATCTCATAACCCTCATTACCATGCATAAAATAAACATCCGGACTTGATTTGACAAACATTTTAGAAAGATTTAGTATTTTAAAAATCTTACATACTCTTGAATGACTTTGTATCTGATTATTTCCTTGAAGAAGCTCAGCTCAGACTAGTTGGCTACCCACCAAACTATCATACTAATTATTATTACAATTTATGGTAATAGAAACAACTTAAACAACCTATCCTTAAATTTGAATTACAAGGTTAAATATGTGATACATTGAATCAATGTGTTTTTTTTCCTTCAATAAACAAGAATGAACTACTTTGGTGTGCTACTTATATTGATATAAGTAGTATATGACGCGAGCTAAAGAACGTAATGTCTGGCAGCAGATGGGGAAAGATCAACAAAAGAAGAGCGGGAACGCAATCCAATATGTAAAAATAAACGCATGAACCATAAAATGTGAGACAATGGATTGATGATTGCAAAAGCAACAGTCCGGTTTGATATGATGAAATGATATTTTGCAAATTAACGATTTACTATAGTGTTTTTCTATTTTACCAACTAAAGACTATAATTGATAACTATGGCTTAGGACAAATTAATTACTGTATAGTATATAGCGGCAATAAATAAGCTACATGAAATTCTGCTGAACGGATTTTTTTCTTGCATTAAGGTTGAACGAAGCTAGATATGCTTATTTGTTGAATTTCGGTTTATTACATTGAGGATATCACTTTCAAGATGAAGGATCTACAAATACCTGAACTCGATCTACTGCGTTAATTTTATTGTTATCTACAGATCTGTCTTAAACAAAAGACAAAATCTATGAAAACTGAGTAAACGTTGTATACTTATTAAATGCAGATCAATAAGGAGATAAGTAGAATATTTCAAATGGTTGCGTAGTTGAGATAAAATATTCAAGTTGTTCACTTTAGAATAAAATAGTTAAATAATATGGAGTTTTCCAAGTGTTGTTCTAGCTGCAACAAAGATAAAGAATTCAAGCAATAAGTTCTTATCAATAAGTCACTTACTAGAAAACCACCTTCACTGCAGTATTTATAAATAAACCAACCAACGATTAATAATACAGTCCCAGCAGATAGTGATTGGTATAATACATATGCCCAAGGTGGGAAAGAATAATTCTTCTCTTTTAATTCAATCCGATTTGTTAATACAGAAATAATTAGTAAAAGACAAATAGTTGGTGTAATTACAAGCCAACAAATACGCCAATACCAATTAGGTCGTTCATTTATCATCAATTCAATATCGCATCGAAATTGTCTTAAACCTAAGAGTGATTCAATGAACAAAAGTGATAGCATATAACTGCAATAAATTTATCACTATGTAAAAAGTCTATGTATATTTTTTTTAACATTTTGAATAGACAACAAATATTTTTTGCAATTACGATTATTGCATTCTAGGTATATGCATGAACATACAAGTACATCCGTAAACTTGGTACATTTTAGTCAAAGAGAAGACTATCAAATTAAGCAATCTGTCTACATTGATTGGGAGAGGTTTCTAGGTGGCCATAGTTATTACCCAGTATCTATTCAACAGGAATGACCGTATCTGTGCAAAGATATTATAATTGAAGATGAAGTAAAACTGATGAAGGAAACCTTGATGGAGAATATCTATAAAAAACTCATGAATCGATTGAATGACTATATTATGTTGCGACCTAATATGATTCAAGAACCCAACATAGCCGTCTACATTATCCTGCCATATGTGTCAGTCGGACACAACGTAGAACCTGTACTTATGTAAATCAGTTCAAGTTGCCATATCACATCGACACATAAAGATTAAGCCAACAGGTCAAACCTACCATGTAAGTTGAATAGCTTGGTGGGGAAATTGGAACCGATGTTCCCACCATCAGTAGATTGTACAATGTAGTACATGTAGTACAATGTATTAAAAAAACAAAGTTGCAGTAATTAGGTAAGTTATAAAAGGCATTTAAGATATTATTTTGCTTTAAATGAAGTAGGTATAATGTATCTGTCACAAATTCATCTCAATGAAAGCAAATTAACCTTCACAAAACACTTTCAACTATACTACAATAGTCGGCTTACTAACTACATGCTCCAAGATGTTCCAGAAATATCTAGTGAGAAATCATGTTTGGTACAGTTTAAATATGTACGGAATGGAAAATCAATTATCAATGGAATCAGCTAAATATCATATTTTGGATAAACATTAAAACTAATAAACTAGAAATCTATTCATAGATTAAATTGCAAAGTAATTACAGTTAGAATTCTATCTTTGGACGCCGACTCATGAAGTAGCAAACTTTCTTACTTGCTATTTATAGAAATTGAAATCTTCTAAGTGATAGAATGGATGAATTCGATATTTGTTTTATGAAAAGTGCATAAAATTGTGTAGACAATTTCGCTTACATTATTTATAAATTATCCAATACTATCACCCTTTATTCCTGACATTAACTAATTGAAATAATGCATTTTTATCTCAGAATTATTACGTAAAAATTCTCTTTTCTGCTCTAACCCATACATTTCAGTTCAAGGCAATGGTAAGTAACAATTGCTCTGACGCAAAAGAAGTGGATCAAAACTGAATGAAAAAATTCGTTATAAGCTGAAAAGCTGAGCAGCCATTTTGTTATATAAAGAAGTGTCATAATGGACAAAGTGTTGGAGTGAAGTGATGTCAAGTTCGATCCATTCGTAGCACATTCGGACGTATCGGACAAATGTCAAATACACCAAGTCAATCGAAGCTAGACTTGAAAAACAATTATCCCTCGAATGAAATAAACATCATTTGTTTTATTAAAATTTTAACTAATGCAATTTTGAAATAACTATTTGACAAGGCAGATAATAGAAAAAGCTTAATCACCAGATAATAATCAATTTTCTGTAATAAGTATCAATGAGACCATTTCCTAAAATGCTGATTTGTACGAACATTCAATGTTTCCGGAAACCTTATTTACTTCATTTTTGTATTGTTTGTTTGAATCTTCCGACTGATATTTAAGACTACAATTGATCAGTCTCTTATTGGCATATGCGTATTCTGTGCGGATCGTCTCAATATTGCCTTTGATCACAAGCCATCATCCATCTCTGCTTATAATGCTTGTTTAAATACACATTATTATATGTTTAAGCGGTTAGTTTAAATTAGTTTCAAATTATTCATTTTTCTGAGGACGATCGTACGTTTTAAACATTGAATTTTTTCTCAAAATGTCAATTTCACAGTCGATTCCAAGAAGTTTCAACAGTGAAGACATGAAAAGGCCCTAATTTTAATTTTCGAATAACCATTTTTTAATACTAGATGCCAAATTTGTCTAGTTCTTTTGTTGATCAAATTTTATCGAATAAACTGAAAACGTAAACACTAATAATCGTTAATTTTCTTTATAAATCATAAAACTAATAATTCTTTATTTTCTTTTAACTGTTATTCAAGTTTATGTTTATTTCATAATGAAAAGAACCAATATAGATAAAGCTATTGATAGATTTTGTCAATATTTGTGTTTCCAATTTAATCCTTAATTCTAATTAGTTCCGAATTATCTTACTATTAAACAACAAAAAACAAACATTTTTCTATCATATCTGAAATAACTAAAATAAACCGAAACTTTTGAATAAAGTAATCACCATCTGACCTACCATATACATATGTAATGACGACCGTTTCACTTAGTGCAACAATTAATGGAGCATAACCACTCATTACACTGTCATATATTGTTACAAGATAATATCCACCAGCACAAACCATTGGCAATCCCATGAAAAAATTCAAACAACATACTGATATCCTGTAAATATGTCAAAAAAATTATTATTATTACTATTATTATTATAGTAACGAAGAGAACTGTCAACTAGTAATTCAGTAATGCAAACCCAAAAAATTTGACCGCGAAGTTATGTAATTAAACGGAGAACATTGTTTTTCATAAGTTCATATTTACCATTTGATGTATACTACACTAACAACGAATTTATCATTCAGATAAACGTAGTTTTTGCGAAAACATCACCCAAACAAATTGAAATATCATCGATTTTGTTCACTTTTACGAGAAAGTGCAATACCTTAAAAATATTGTACAACGCGTTAAGTATTCACAATCAACCATTCAGAATTTGAATTATTTTTTGTCTCATGAAGTAATCTGCAATCTAATGGACTACTTAAACTAAAAAACAGTACGTCATAATTTAGCTGAGACATTCGAACATCCTACTTATCTGTAATAGTTATATACTCGATTTTACCATAGCTTTTTTTCAAGCAGATACACTTGCCTTTTCAAAATTTTGTTACAAAACTGGTTGTGTTTTGTTAGGAATGGTTTGATGTATTAGACGTTTTTACCATATTGGAAATCATGATTTATCCAATCAGATTTGAATGTCGAAAGGAAATTGCTCATTATAGGAATAAACATTAAAATAATCATATTTAATGTTATCACCAATTTACCCAATATTTTATCTTAGTTGTGAAAAACAATGTGTATGACAACGAAATCTATGACTGGGGAAAACAATAAATGGTGAGATGATTTGCACAAAATGTTTCATTATCAAAAATATTATGGTATGCTCTGTTAATGCGGACAGACATAAGTAGTATGTAGCAGAAATAAGAAGTGGAATTCTTACCAGCAGAAGATTGAAATACAAAGAAAAGGATGAAAAATAGAGAGCAATCAAAATAACAGGATTAAAAAAACTATAGAGTATGTAGAGCAGAACTCTGAGAAGATATACAGATGAAAGAATTAATATTTGATTTTCATATTCTACAGAAGCATAGTGTGAATTTTGTATAAATAAAAAAATTGGCTTTTACCTTAACAAGTCTTCGTTGTTTACAATACTATTTATCCTAATTTCGAATTATTTGAACATAGTGCGAACGTTATTGCTCCACGTGTTGTCCAATCCAATACTTATATTGTTCTTCATTGAATATCACATGTACATAAACTGTTAGATCGAACGAAATCCGATGAAATTTGAACTTTAAAATTTTAGTCAGCTTGAAGTGTATTTCATAACAAGTGTAAATTTAATAAACTTAATATACTTTAAAAAAGCATTTAAGTAAAAATAATTTCACCACTGTTGATTTTTTTATGCGACATTATTTGAATAATTCACTAAATGAAGAAAAATTTATTTACTACCGGTAAAATATTTGACTTTCGTCTAAAAATCTCTAATTGGCATCGGTTATAGCAAAAGATGTTTGGAGTTTTTTTGACCAAACTATTGCTCCATATGAGATTTAAGTCAGTTTGATTCATATAAGTTACCAATAAGCTGTTGTGGTATTGACTAACTGTCTCACCATGCAGATGTGAAACGTCTACATTCATCAATGTAAAATTATACTTCAATATCGTTTGTATGAAACAAAAGATAAAAACTATAACTTCCGTAAAAAAACCCAATTAAATGTTAAGCATTTCATTTAAAGAGATGAGAATTGTTAACATAATTAAGATAAATACATATTTGCAGTGACTTTAAATGATATATATTATATTCTCTAAAGACAGTGTGCGTGTATGGATGATACAGGTTAAAAGAAGAATGAGATGTTAGAGAAACAACATCTATTGTACGTGACGTAAAACCCATTAAACAATAAAGTAAATTATAAAATACAAAATAATATTAATCACTTAATTACGCAATTAGGTATAGGATTCAACAGAGAAAATTGGTCATGTAGTCAAATCGGTTTTTTTGCGTGAATGTATTCTCTAGTTCAAAAGATGCAGAATTTGCCAACATAATCGTCAAAATTAAATTTATACCATAACCATTTCATAACCAATCAGACAATCATACAATAATAAAAAAGAACCTACTAAAAATGCATACACTTCCAGCATCCACAATCAAAGTGAACTACAGAGATATGTCATTATCAATCGTAGCGAAAATATTCCGCAGATCATTTCTGGTCTTGAATTATAAATTAACCACTAACTACGTAGTTTCTGAATCTGTTCACAAATCAGTTTTGTACAGTCACATGAATGACATAATTCAATCAGCTGTAATAAATCCCTACCTCACTTATTCCAACATTTTGTAGGCTGGAATTAATCAATATGCACTAATGTTTAAAGCTGTCTTATCCTATCTATGTTAAGATAAACAGATCAGCTTTTACGATTTATGTTAAATTACTAATAACCTTAGGATCAAGCGATATAGATAAAGCAGTTTGAGAGAAAAAAATTAGATCAATTTCCTTATTTGAAATTTTAAATATAACTTGACCTGAATTTCCCGTATTCTGAGTAAAATGATTTTATTTCCTCAATTCTCCTTTGTGAAATATTAAACTTATTGTTGTGCCTGACCCATATATTTATTTGCCTTCATCTCTCAACATACAATCTAGTCATATTTGAATAAACCTATACACAAATAGATCTTCATTTTGCATATCTAAACGATAAGGACTTGAAATTTTAGCCTAGATTGTTTTCATGTGAATTTATAAAAAGTAATTAAAACAGAAAAGCAAACCCATAAGGAGTGTATCACCCATAAATATCTAAGTTAATTATGTGATATTTATTTTCATGATACACAAATTAATGAAACAACATCGTAATGAAATTGAAACAAATAACCGAATTTTTTATTGAGATCAGTAATTGACTTTAGTTAAAGGAACCTTGAAAACCAGGAAGCACCGAATAGCTATTTCGTTTTAGCATGAACTATTGAGCAGTTGTGATATACAACCTACTTGGGTTCGAGCCCAGGATATTCCAGTCTCAATGTGAGTCCTTAATCTTTAGATCACTGAGCTGGTCTCAAGAGATTAATATATCTAATGTTAGTCGAGTCGTTTATGCGGACTGGTGAGCAGCCCAGTGGTAGAACGCGATAACTGTCCAGTACATCCTGACTTTCAACGGTCCCCTAGTTTGGGTCGGTTCTGAATTAAAATAACTTCCAACAAACATAAAAACAGACGATGCTGATAGTTTTTTGTTAAGTTTAAACACATACCGGAACGCAATTTTACGTCTTTCAGTTAGATGAACACCTAATCGTCTGAATTCATCCTGTATACCAGAAAGAGTCGTCTCCAATATAGAGAACTGTGAACCGAAACCAAGTGTTAACATCATTGTGAAGAATAAAACCGACCATAAACTAGAAAGTGGCATATTTGTCATTGCTTCAGGATATACAATGAAAGCAAGTCCAGGACCTTGATGATTAAAAGAATAAAAATGATAATTGTGAAATTATATCATTGAAAAAGAAAAATGATGAATAAAAACACTGTACTGCAACGATTTTCTGCTCAAACACAAGTCACTTTTTGTTAAAAGAAAAACATTTCCGAAGCCATAAAATTAATAAAAACAAATTATCGTTTAATCATAAGTAAAAAAAGTGTGACATTTAGTAGCATCTCAAGTCAACATGAACCATTCTAATATTTTCATTTATTCTATCACTCATATGTTCGACCACATGTAATCTTCTGGATATTTTATGCATGAGTGTATATGCTAGTACGTATGTGTATATATATTTACCTGTATCTCTCTGATGCTTACAGAAATTGAGTCACCTATTACTCACGTAGTTGGGTATTTCTTCCGCTCCAGATCACATACATGTTTTTGGTCTCGTATCGTTCGACTCCACTATAAGGTTCATGAAGTACTTTCGTATTCAGATCAAACTTGTTATTCGCGGGATTTGTCTACAGAAAATACAAGCCCCTAGCATGTGCAATGGAGTGAAGTTTTAATTCATTTTGCATTATTTGTTTGAACCTTTCCATTGATGTTTAGGACTGCAATTGATCAGTCTCATTTTGACATATAGGCATCCTGTGCGGACTACCTTGATATTACCTTAAGTCACAAGCATCATAAGCAAAGATGGATCACGCATCCATGACAATACATGTGTTCGATTTCCAGTTTTATTGTTGAAAAAAATCGAAGAATCCATTCGATACAGTGACGTATAGTGGCTACCAGTGGAATCAAAGATACCGGCTTCGTCCATCAGTTGGATATAACCGCATCCCAGAGTTGTTATTCACTTCGGCACTCATATAAAAGTGCCTGATCAATTAAAGTGACAAACATCAATGGGAAAGTTCGCACAATCAATACAAGTGAATCCCTAGGATTTATTTAAAATCAGACCTAAACTGTCTCAACGTTTTTAGAAGATTATTGCTCTTAATAACTCTCCTCACTTCCATTCATCATTTACACAATTGACCAGCTATAAAATATATCATCAGAAAATGAAACTTATAAGCAAAAATGAATGGGAGCTAGCAGCGCAATTTAAGACGCGCGTCTTGTACTATTTGGAACTCGTCAGCTGATCAATTGCAGTCCTAAATATCAATAGGAAGATTCAAACACACAATAGAAAATGAATTAGAAACCAAACCTGTTCTGAGCTTAGGCAGTCGACTGTTATCGTGACCTTATATCACCTATGCAATATTCGTAGTCTTCATTATAATTCTTCATCACATTCAAAAATCCCGGTTGTTTTTCTCAATATACTAAGTTTATTCCAACAATCGGCATAAAGCAACTTCACAACTTTAACAGAAAGGTTAACATATTCATCGAACACACTGATACACAATTTGCAAACTGATATGCATATGTACAATAAAAAACTTTATAACATTAGGTTGTAAGCCTGTTGTTGTTAAAATAATAACAAAGCGTCGAAATCAAATGGAAACATTTTATCCTACAACTCATCTTCTTTTGTTAGCATTTGAAGCAAGCAACGATAGATCAGAGCGGCGTGATGTCTATTGCAGGTTTTCGTATCTGATGATCATTAGTTAATCGATTAAAAATAACGCAGAATTGGGTACATATCTTCATTGATTCAAGTTGCGACGTCGTAACAACACAATAAGAATAAATTATCAGGTCAAATGCTGGAATAGTTTAAGTAGTAACAGTATCTGTGGTTGTCGAAAAAATAATATGATTTGAGAAAATTCGCAAGCTCCATACCACAAGGTTTCTTCAAAATTCAAGATACATCGGAAGGCCAAGAATGTATTCATTAGAGTTAATGTTATCGATTCTGATCGATATCATGTAAAATCTCCATTTATTGGTTGCAAAACTGGCCCAAACACAAGTATGTATGAAGACGGTTCAATCCAAAACTCGTTGACTTTATGAGCTGTCTATGCCCCGGCTTGTCAGCCCCCAGATTTCTGTCAACCTAATCCATAATGCATTGAAGTAGGTGTTAGTTGGTTATACATACTTTAATGTCCAATCCCCTCCAGTCGATTATTAAGCCGTCATGCCGAAACACGTATAAATAATTCTACAAATTCGACTATGAATTGCAAAAAAATGCAAATTTACTTGATTCATGTTGGTGGGAACGAAAAATAGGTACACACAGAACAAGATAGTATATTTATATTACACAAAAGCAACCATCGATCCATTAATCCTATCAAACAAATCGACATTACACACAGATGGGGTCAATATTAATCAATGAGAAACGAAAACAAAAACCTAAGAACATTAGAGAATGTTAACGAAATAGAAATGAAAATAAAACAGTAACAAACACATCACGACAATCTACACAAAACTTCTATCTGTGGATAAAACACAAACACATGGGCATGCAATTTGAAGTCACTTACCGCTGGATGCAACTTCAGAAATTGTTGTATTTTTTTGATAAGCCATAAAACCCAAATTAGAAAATATCACAAAACCAGCATAGACAGAAGTTGCACAATTAATGATTGCCACAATGACAGCATCTCTATTTAAATTATTCAGTGAAAGTGAAGTTGTAAAAGTATATGATGATAACAATGAGAAAATAATAACAATAATAATATTTAACTGTATGATGTCTAAGCCATGATTATACGTACAACCAATTAACTACTAATGTGTTGTTAATTAATGCTCATTGAATTATCTAGATCAAGTTGGAATTTGACAACACTAATGGTCTAAATAAATCGACATTAAATGTTCGTCTGATAGTAGGTGACTGAAGGCAATCATTTGGTAGGTAACCCTGGACCTATTGTTTCATGCTAGCCGTTAACCCTTCCGGAGGCATAATTACAATATCTAGAGTGAATTGAAGTGGTACTTAAAATGCTAACCTGCATCACCCAGTTTTATGGTGTACTTCGGCATCTGTCACTATAGAATGATAAGTCAGTTATAAATATCTGAATCCTATAGAAGATGGTTGTAACCTGAATAAGCTAGCGGTCACTTCTCAGACTGTGAGGCAGGGTTAAACGGCTTTTAATCCTACCTGTAGCATCAATCCACTCAAGAGTACAGTTACGTCTTGCTGTCACGTGTCAACTAGGATGAAACATAGGTCTAGGGTTTCCGGCCAACTACCTCCAACAGCTTAATGTGGTAATAGAAGCCAAGGGCTTCAAACATAACTCATTTAAGTAGCACTTTAAATCCTCATTTTCATCATATACATGAGCAGATAATAATGTTCTGTTGTATTACTAGAAATGATATTGTTACAATTTTAAGATCTGTATAAATGGTGATTATAAAAAGCACTGAGTTATTTAGTGACGAAACACGCAAATTAACAATGCAAATAATGATTCATAATGTAAACTTGTTAGTGTCCCAATCCTTAGATTAATAATAATTATATTACTACAACTACTAATAATAATAAATCAAATAGGTACAACAAAACATGTAACATTATACTGACATTACTTCTCAATAAATTTAAAGCTTAGTGAATATGGGTTTACATCGAAAAGTTAAACGTGAATGAATTTCATGTATCATCAACTCTATTTGCTTCACACATAAATGATAAGACGTCTTAAAAATAAGATTTGAAAATAGAAAACGATGGAAAACAGGAGAAAATCGGACAGTGAAAACTGACAGGTATTGTAAATAAAATCAAACTTGACAATGTTTTCAGCATAGATATTTGTACTAAACAATATTCTTTCAGGTTTCAAATCAAATACTAGCCTTATCTAGAACTTTGCTAAAAACTTGAAATAACTGGACTGAAATTTCATCCTAGTCAACAATAATAACAATCCGGTGCACCTGGGCCCATCATTATTTTAGTCTATTATTTTTAAGATTTCACATAAGTTTGCCATGCAAAATGTATTGCATCATCGAATAATCATGTAAACCACTAAAGCTGAATTACTTTCGACAGTAAGGGCCATAATTTACTATTGAGTATCATAAGACCAATTACTTGAAAGGGATTTTAACTAGGAAAATCGAGCATCAATAGACAACTGATAGAAATGGCGATATAACTTGACATAATCATATATCAATGAATATAGACAAACAAAACTATGCCAGTGATGTAACACCATACTGTTCACTTACCTACAACAGTTATTCTTAAATTTATTATAACTTGACACAGTTATTAAACCACCGTTGCAACAGCCCAAAGAGAAAAATATCTGTGTAGCAGCATCAGCCCATACTTGGGGATCTGTTAATCGTGAAAAATCAGGTGTTAAATAATAAAGTACACCTGCTCCTGAGCCTGGGAGAAGCGCTCCTCGTATGAGAAGAATTGTTAACATGATATATGGAAATACACTTGTGAAGTAAGAAACCTATAATAGAGCAATCGAGTAATGTACATATTTCATATTGGTAATTAGAAACAGACCTAACAAATTAGATTACCAACTCATCAAATCTTAGTTTTACATTTTATCCGCTTCGTTTTATTGCATATACTCTAGCAATAAAGGTTTAATGGATCGACAAAATAAAATTTATACCATAAATAAGCAATGGTGTTTATTAATGAAAAGCTTTGAGTAAAATGTAGCATACCGGTAACATACAAACAAATAAATCAAACAAACAACCGATGATTGTCGCGTCAAATTAAGAATTAATCAAAGTTGAAGATATAAAGCGTTGGATTAAACTTGGTTTAAATGAGATTGCTAAACGGACGGATTTCTCGTCTACACAAATAGGACGTTAATTTGCCTTAAACGAATATCTACACTAGATTCACTCCCAGTGTCTATTCTAGACGACATCAACACAACTCAGACCAAGAACACATGATTAGCCTGACTAGAACGTATATATACTTCCACACCAAAGACCGATAACAGTCAGTCAGCAATCCAATAATAATAATAATAATAAGGGTGAGAGAATATATAACTCATCTAGTACCTGTCAGACTATCTATTAGTCTGACTAAGCTAATAATCAGTCATTATCATTCTCGCCCACACATAAGCGCCTCGCGAAGTTTGGTCATATGACTTAAAATTTAGGTCTATTTGAGAAAATCTCGTTTGTTTCCCTTCTTTTGATGACCTTCGGTTAGCTTCTGATTTCAACTGATTTCTCATTTCAACATGAGGTGGTGGTGGAATATTGGGTGTTTCACAAAATACTTCCACTGGCAAAGGTTTGGATTTAGATGACTCACTAACACTTTTTCTGTCTCGCAGTTGATTTATGTGTCTAATAATTAGTGTATTTTCGACCATTACTTCATATAATATCTTCCCAAGTCTTTTATTCAGACGCCCAAATATCCATTTTGGCTTTCCTAGTCGGAAATCACGTGCATAAATTAAGTCACCCCCTTGAAATTCTCGAATTTGCTGACTATTCCCTTTATACTTTGTAGCCTACTAGTTCTATCTTTCGGGTTCAAAACATCAAAAAATGTACTAATTGGTCGGCCAAATATTATTTCGGCTGGACAGTTTGGTTAGGTTTAATTCCATAAGAAATTATAAACTGTTGCGCCACCTGGTGACACTCGTGTATCACTTTACGCCGCCAGTCTTTCGGGATCACCGCCACCCGATTCTCATCATCGTCCTGCCAGGTCAGCACTCCATATGAGTTCACTCTCAGTCGTTCCTTTTGCCGAAACAGCGTTATTACCTCCTTGTCCATTGTTCGTTTATCTACGTCTGCTCCCTCTTTTATCACTCTGATTACCTCTCGAAGGTTAGGGTCAGCTTTCTGCTGCCGAAAGAGTTCTAATGGGTCTCCCTCTAAACTATTCACCGCGTATGCTGTTAATGGCAGGTCGGTTTCCATGTCTGGTCTTGACAAGTAATCCGCCATTACGTTTTCTTTTCCTGGAACATGGTCGATACTGAAGTCGCATTCTTGTAGGTCTATCATCCATCGCGCCAACTTCCCTCGGGGGTCTCTTGCTGTTTTCAACCACTGCAGGGGTTTATGGTCGGTCTCAATGTGAAATCGTCTACCTAAAAGGTACGGTCTCCATTTTTCCACTGCCCACACGATTGCTAAACACTCCTTTTCGATGGTTGAATACTTCTGTTCAGCGGGTGTGAGGACGCGACTCGCGTATTCCACCACTCTATCAGCCTGACTCAACACAGCACCTATACCATGATCACTCGCGTCTGTGGCCACTGTTAACAGTCTTCCCGGTTCAGGCAGTCTGAGTGTCATCTGGCGATCGTCTAGCATGTTTTTTGATTCGATTGAACGTTTGTTCGGCAGTCTCAGTCCACGTAAACTTGGTGCTGCTCAATAACTTATATAAAGGTGCTGCTATTTCGTTGAAATTCTTGACAAACCGACTGTAGAACGCCGCTCTTCCCAGAAACTGTCTCAACTTCCTTTTATGCTTCACTCGTATTGCTGCAATCTCGCGCTCCAGCTCCTTAATCTTCTTCTCGGCATTACTCATCTCCTGCTTTTCGCACCCGACCAGAGCTACTGTTCGCGTCATCAGCTGACGAGTCACCTTCGCCAGTTCACTGATATCCATCGGTTGTGCTGCGTTCACCAGTTTCAGCTGTTGGGAGACGGTGGCAGGCACACTCTCGATAAACTGTGACGCCAACAACTGTGCCTCCGACTCCTCATCCAGACTCGGCAGAGCACGGCGTAACAATCTGGTAAGCTCCATAGCCAGCACCAGTGGGTCACCATCGACCGGCAACCTCGCCAACCGGAACTTCTGCAGCGCGTCCTCTCTGTCCACTGGGCTGCCGAACTCCCCAGCCAACCGCTCCGTGACTGCCTCCCATGTCGTCTTCCTGCCAGCACCGTCCAAGCTGTCACCACCACATCGGAAACAGACGTTTTTAAAATGACACTCACCGCATCGCCAGTAAGACGTTTGGGGTTTCATTCGGTTTGGGATTCACAGTGAGTACAAATCTTTATTTCCATTAAAAGATATCCACAAAGCATTAACTTCCATGTGTTCACTGTTCCTTTCTACTAGATTTGTGCCTTGTTTCAAATTAACCATTCATCGACATTCTTCTGATACTGATTGCAGACTGATAATAGGATCTTGTTCAATTCTCGATAAAGTCCGTGTTGTGACAACTGCATCTACTGCAGATTGTAACCCACAGACAAAAATAAGGCATTTAAACTGATCTGAGGGAATTTCCTGTAACTGGAGCCTCTCACATTCCTGGTTCACGATGCTTGCATATGTCACATAATCATTCTGTGGTTTTCTTACAAGCTGGAAACACTAGAATCTAGTGTGAATAATTGATGATCACTCCCCAAATATGCGTGTCAGGCATTCTGAATTTGATGTCAGCTGTCTTCTTTGGGAGAATAAAATTATAAGACTTTTCATCTTCAGAAACGCCGAGATTCCGTAGTAATAATCTCAGTTTAGAACTTTTGTCCCACTATTTATAACTATTAACAAGCAAATCCTCATGGTGCTTAAACCACGCCTTAAAAGTAATCTCACTTTCTGGATCAAATCTAAATTCATTTTTTGAATTCGCAATAGAATCCGAAGTCATAGTACAATTAAATACCTGGGTTCTTAGGAATGCTGTCATATTTTTGACCAATAATTCGATAACATCATTTCGCTGTTGCAATAACGATTTCAGATCATCCATTTTACTGTTAAAAAATCCACTTTAACTGAATATTTGGAAGTACATCCGTTTTAACCAACGTCACCGCTGTCATAACAGTTGGATTTATCGTCTTCACAAATAGGACGTTAATTTGCCTTAAACGAATATCTACACTAGATTCACTCCCAGTGTCTATTCTAGACGACATCAACACAACTCAGACCAAGAACACATGATTAGCCTGACTAGAACGTATATATACTTCCACACCAAAGACCGATAACAGTCAGTCAGCAATCCAATAATAATAATAATAATAAGGGTGAGAGAATATATAACTCATCTAGTACCTGTCAGACTATCTATTAGTCTGACTAAGCTAATAATCAGTCATTATCATTCTCGCCCACACACCAGAGGTCTTGGATCTAACAGTAGTTAGATTAATGAAGGCGACGTGGATATAGAATACTGATGAGTCCAAAACACAAAGATAAAATATCTTACACTGATCCTACTTAAAAATAAATTAATTTCTATAAACGACACAGCAGAGAATATGACTTCCGCACTACACAGTTCTTCAAACTGGAAGCAAAACTGTACACCGCTCTTAATGAACACGGTGAAATTAAACATACCACTTCCTTGTGAATACATGCTGTCTATAGTGAATAAATTTGTGAGAAATTGTAAATGAAACACGTTACTGGAAGAGATCGATTGTGCATGAACTCGAGTACTAAGATTAAACTATCATGTGTGATTAAGAAGGTAAAATGTATATGGATCAGTGATTTGTTTGCCTAATTATTTCGTTTCGTCGATAATAAGTCCTAAGTTATTATTCAGACTTCTCCAATTGCGCAGTTGGGCAAGCGTGTTGAAAGTTTTTATATTTGTATCGAGCTTCTGTATCAATTACTTATAGTCATGATTGAACAAAATCTTATCGATAGTTGGTTTTTAATAACTTTTATTGATGTTAACAAACGCTTCCAATTGCAATATATGAATTTGGAGATGGTGATGCCAAGATATAAACAACACTTTTATGATACTTCAGTTTGCTCAGATGAGTTATACACTAAAATATAGGCATTTCTTATGATGTAACTTCCATTCGACTTGTACAATTTATCCATTGTACATCTATTATTTATGAGTAGTACATCACACCGAAGATAGATTAACTTACGTTACATAAATAATATGGTTAAAGGTCATTGTATACCTTTTAACAAATGTTGCCAACATTCAAACTTAATTGATAACTATCCAAGAGTGTAATGTAAACGAAAAATAAGTAAATAAATGAATAGTTTGGTTGTAACTCACTTTGCCAAGAGACTGGACACCTTTAATAACCGCTAGTCCACACAAAATCCAACAACATAAAAGGCATAAAGATAACTCCCAACCTGGTGCACCGAACTCTTCGAAACCAGGTGATAATTTAAGAACTTGATTACTAAATAATATAAAAAAAAACTTAGCATCTTAATAATTATTTAATGTAAATGATTTAAAAAGGAAATTCCTGATAACTATAAAGTACACATAAATATCATTTTATTCCCAGATTATTTTTATTTTTGTGATTGTTTGGTGAGTAGTAAGTATTTTACTATTACAGAACAAAAATCAAAATTTGTCATGTGGCTAAGTTGTCAGTTTGTTAATTTGATTTATTTTGAACTTGATGGTATTCCATAGACTGACATTCTATATTGCTTATTTCTTGTCAATATATTCAAAATAAATGGAGATTGAAAGTTCACATTCAGAATCAAAAATTTTAATCTTAAGGAGTACATGCATGGTTTTGTCAGACAATTAAAAAAAATCCATGTTCATTTTCAAAAGATTGTTGACAAAGATATTCACCAAACGTAATTTTTAAGCTTGATTATTCCACATTTATCTGATGTTATTCATATTATTATCAATTTTGATAACATCAGAAAAACTTGGATCAAAGAGTATATTACGAGTGTATTTTTATATTTTGGAGTTCAACATTAAGGGCCTGTTCTAGCTAGGAAAGAAAGAAGCATTAAACTACTATTTCATTGTCGTATAGAACCACACCGCTATGCACATCCTCTACACGTTTAGCGAACGGACTAAAAACCTCAATCCCTTGTAATGAAGATACGACCGTCAGATTATTGGAAGAGAACTGTTCAGGAGTGTAACACTAGGAAGAAACAAACATTCAGTTTATTTTAGTTTCCGTCATTGTTAACTAAAGACAGTTACTGATGTCAAACAATTATCAGAATAATCACACATACAAGCCAAATATGTCAATTTGCAGGATAAAGCGTAAGCACGTGAACTAAACACTTCTGAAGTTGACGGAGCAATAACTCTTAACAGGAAACTATTACACACGCATCTGAACAAATCACGAGATAACATTTCTCCATGATTAAACAACAACATAACATTGATGAACTGGAATAGCATACTCTTTGATACATTGATAATAAATGCAGAACAAAATTATTGTAGAGGTGAATCATATTCTGTTTAGTCAAACAAACAACAAAATACAGGAAAAGATACAAAAGTAATCAAGTGAGTATATATTGAGGTTAACCATATGGTGTTAAGCAAACGTGACAAATGGACTGATAAAGTTGAGTCTTCACTAATTAAGACAGTCGAGAGATGTTACGTATACCTAGACGCCAGCTTGTTTGAGAGTCAATGTTCGCGGTAATAAAAGGTTGGAATTAAACTAGACGATGCTTAACTAAAACATGGCATCAGTTCATAAAGTCCCTGACTGTTCATTTTAGTCACGTTGGCATATACAGGCTAACCTGATTGAAATCTTTGTGGTAACCGTGATCAGTGGTAAGAGACTCTGTAAACTGCTATCAATGGTGCAGATGTATTCACCCTTCATCTTTTAACCTTGAATTTCTTCTTAGAATCCTTTACATTCTGTATTTTTGAAACTTTCTCAATGTCTAGTCTTTTGCATCGTCACTGCTACTGATGTATTCCAATCTCTTTTGCTGTGTCCTGTTAATTTTATCTCGTTGTGCCAGGGTTTACCCTGATCATACCTGATTGATTGATTAATCCCAGGTCATAATAACAACTTCGAATTACAATTCGCATTACATTGAAGACAAATTTTTATAAAAAGTGATGAGTGTTCAGTAATCAGGTCTAACTCCAATCAGTCCTCTATACTGCCCGAACACCCTCCATTGTCGTCGATGAATATTTTCGTCACACCTGAAGTGGTTAAGTTACATTGGTCATGGCTTCTTCAGTATAGGGTTGTCGGAATAACTCAATTTTATTGCTATCACGAACAGACCTATCTTACGCAACCTTTCATAACGTGAAGTAACTTGATGTTTATTTAGTATACACTGCCGATTGTCAGGAAGGTACTCACCGAAGAAAACAGATATTCGCGCAATATAGAGAACTGACAGAATCTAGACCAGTAAGCCATTAAAAACCGGCTCAGCGGTCTAGAGTTTGTTCGTTCGCGCATGAGACCGAAGATCCTGAATTTGATTTTCGGTTCCAGGAACGCGAATGCACATTATTGGGGGTACCATACTAGGACGATAAAGATAATCAGTGCTTTCAGAGTTTCGGTGCCTATCCAACTTAGATCAGTTCATGATATCCATGAAATTGAACAATCTCTCCAACCCTATACTGATATTATAAAGCAAATAATGTATAGTAGATGGAAATAACAGTCTATTAATAATAATATATAAATTGTCATATTTATACTAATATATTGGCGAATTGTTTATTCGAAGATAAATTTAGCTAAGCGATATAGAAATCATTGTCATAATTGATAGATAGTCCAAATTTACCCAGATACCACAAATAATAGTCTGTTGAAAAAAGAAAATAGAAATTTCCCCCAGTTTAACATTTCTTAAATTCAGATTACTACACATCTTTAATAAATCAATGAAATAATGTGTCTATTTTGAAGCGTAATACGCATAACCATTTCTATAATGTTCTTTTTGAATCTTTAATTTAAAAGAAAACAAAACTGTATATACACCTGGTGTATATTTTATTAAACAATAAAAAAATAATTAATATTCAAATAATTCTAAATATAACAAATTTGCATGAATCCACATTCGATACATTTTGTTTAGGACATAAAGAGGGAAAATAGCTGATAGGTACATCAAAAACGGTTGTAAATATAAAACGGTACTTGCAAAGAGAATAAGTTTGAAAAGATATATAACTGACAAATCAGAAATGTTCAATAATAATAATATATAGGATATACAGGAAGGTAATCAATAAATACATTGAAATCACAACCACCGGTTTCAAACCACAACAATTAGAGCTTTAAAACTATTCCTTTGTGTTGATTGTTTACATCATCTAAATAGTGTTGAAAACTGCAATTAATCAGTCTTTTATTGGTAAATGTGCATCCTGTATGGATTCCTTTGAGTTACAAGTATTATAAGCAAAGAGGGACGGTGGCTAGCAGTGGAATCCATGACGCGCGTTTTGTCTCACTTCAGTCTCCTCAGATAGAGTTTATGTTCACTTCGGTACTCGAATCCGGTACCGCGTGCTTCAAACATCAACTCGCTATTCACTTAGCTATTGAGTCAAGATAGCTACTGACGTGTGTAATGTGGGAATTATAGTTTATCGCCACCATCTATTTGCGTTTAAAATCCTTGATGTAATGGAATATTGAGGCCATTTGCACCACTTGCACATGTAGAAGTATAGAATGGTAGTTTTCAGTCATAAACATGATGGGAAGATTCAAACAACTAATACTAATGAACAATAATTTATCCCACTGTCTTTGGACTTAGTCACTAAGTGGAAAACGCGATGGCGCTGGGAGCGAACGGTATCGGGTTAGAATCCAGGAATTATTATTAACTTTCATTTCCGGGTATATCCAACTGATGAGTCCCAAATGAGGCGAAACACCCGTCCTGGAATGCGCTGTTAGCCACATTCCATCTGTCCTGTAACAATGATGGATGACCAAAAATACCTGATGGATCTATAACATTATACTACTACAAAATGTTTTACCTAACGAGCAGAAAGACAATTATAAGTACGTGAATATAAATTTAAATAAATGTAATCAAAAACGTAAATTCAGAAGTACTTACATAATATGGTTATTTTCAATAAATGAGAATAGTAACTTACAGATAATGTTATCGGTAACTTTGAACCGGTATTCGTAAGTACTTACAAACTGATATGCCATTGGACGATATTAATGATCATGATCATAATGTTAACAAATAATTTGCTCATTGTTCATTTGATTTCATTTAGGTTCGTTGAACAGTTACTGTTTCTCGATCATTTATGTTTCAACATATAGCAAATTATTTACCTTATCAATTATGAAAATGTTAGTGAATTTTTCATGTTATTCAACTTATTCAGGAGATCGATTGACCCACTCTCATGATTTCGCTTTATGGTCTACATTTAATAGTGGTATATATATATATATCTTATTGATTACAATATGGAGTGCAGTTACCCGTTGGATGACCTTTTAAATTAATCATTCAATTGAGGCATAAAAAACTCATATTAGTCTAAACCAACATGATGTGGTATTTATTTTTGTTTTCACGATAGCTTCAATAGAATAAAATATGCACAAAGCATTTGGCATAAAGAATAAAACATTAGCATATTATCTAGTTTCAATAATTTATATTATATGAAAACTATCTACAATCATAACGATGTTTGTCTTGTTCATATCCGAGATAATGAGAAAGTAGTAGAAAGAAAATAGTCAAGGATTGAGTAGAATAGAACAAAGTAAAGTACAGCAGAGTAGAGTAAAGTGGAGTAGAGTAAAGAGTAGAGAAGGTTGTAAACAATTGTCTTATTGGATAAAACAACCATAATCATTTCTTCATATTTATAAACCAATTAATTAACAATAAAATTATAATTTATAAAATTTCACTTACAAATAATAATCTTCTGATGGTGTTTTAGGATATGTGATGTTACTGTAATTTACTGAAATCAAAACAGAATATTTACATATTTATGTTAGAAGGGTAATTCAGTAAAAATTCACAGAAATTCACATTATATATATATATATATATATATATATATATATGCATAATTTAATAAACTGATGTATAAATAGATCAACTGTACTTGACATGATATTGAAATAAATTCTCACTTCCATAAAATGTAGACATGTGAACAAGATTAGATTTATCAAAACTTGGATGAGAAATTTCAATAGTATTTTCATAGAATGAAATCAGCTTTTTATTTAAAAACACAAGAAGAAATATATAAAGGAACTACAAAGCAACGAATTATAGTTTTTGTCAACGTTTGTACATCAACAGAGTAAATATCAGGATTATGAATAATCCCCATACCTGGTGATTTACGTAAGTAAAGAAGCATCGCCTGAACGGTGAAGATTTGTGATTTCTACATAATTAGTGTATACAACTGGAACTGAACCGATTTTCATCTGCTACTTTATAAAGTATTTTGATAAAATATAGAAGTGAATGGGCAATTTAATAGTAAAGTTTAGAGTAGAAGAAGCTTAATGTAAATAATTATAGTTGCAATGCAGTATATACTTATTAAACAATAATTGTGTTAGTTGGCTGTAGTTAATCGACGAAATACTACAGACCTGGGTCATATTACGATTTTGTTAGCAGACTTTGATCAACACAAAAGAACTGAATCAACATGACACTAGTCATTAGTTAGTGATCAATCAATTTTACATGGACCATTGTCCATGTAAAATTAAATTCAAAACAAATACTTATCAATTGCAGCTTCATGATGAACAGTTTGAAGAGATCAAATAAAATGTGTTAGCTTGAAGCCGTTACCCTGTTGTATTTGAGCTTATAGGGTATGAAACATCTCGATCCATTACGATAGTTAGAATAAAAAAGGATTATGATTTAAAATGTTTTGGATGATCGTCCCATGTTACTACTTATTATAATGTGCAACTCAGCTGAGATCTTATTAATTTAGGATAAATTAAAAGCGATTAGGTTGATACATAACAATAGCCAGCAAATAAAACAATTATCAATATAGGGTTGTGGGAGATTACTAAGTTTTGATTGAGATCATGAATCGATTGATCTTATACCACCATTGAAAACCTGGAAGCACTGGACGGTCGTTTCGTGCTATCATGGGACTCTTCAGCAGTACGCATCCACAATTCCGTTCGCGGGATTTGAACCCAGGACTTTTGATCTCGCGTGCGAACGCTTAGCCTCTAGACCACTGAGCAGGCATCTTATGGTGCTAGTGTCTAACCTCAACTAATCCACGAAATTGCGCAACCATCTTCCATTGTACTGAGGTAGATACCTGTCTCTACCTGACATGGATGAGTTACACAATGGAAGATGGTCGCGCAATTTCGTGGATTCTTTGAGGTTAGACATTAACGCCGTTGTATGCCAGCTCAATGGTTTAGAGGGTAAACGTTTGGTCTGTCGATTAATCAATCACGTTAAAAAGGAACAGCGATAAAATGTCAAACAAAAGTTGCAGTTAGGACATATATACTTCAAACATTCATGTAAGCTGGTAAAGAAATAATTCAATATAGATACTTAATAAATGAAGATTGGTACGGCTACATAAATCTACTCATTGAAGATTAGTTAACTTATTAGGGTGAATAATGTGTAAATTAAAAATAATCACTTCTTAACGTGATCCTTAGATTAATCTACACAATAAATATCACTTACTTCTGTTTGAATCGATACAATCAGGTGTACTCCAGGGAGGATTACATTCTGTCCAAGGTAATGTATGTGTAAAACTAACACCAAAATAATATAAACAATGTGCAACGATAACTTGATAGTAGATATTTAATAACCATGATAAAAATACCATAGCGTAACCAATACCTGGAAAATGTAAAAAGCAAAATTCACAATGTAATCAGTAGAGCTTCTTTGTAATGTATAGATGACAAAATGTAATATTTTATGGGAGGCGCTATGTGATAACAGGGAATAAGTGATTTACCCTAATAAATTATATTTATCACAGTATGTATTTCACATTGTTGATATAAAAAAAACTACAAAAGATCAGCTTCCGTTGGCATAAACGTATTCATATAGAATCGACTTGATATTACAGTTCTCAGTAAAGTTGGGTCATAGACGTAGGTTTCATCCTATTTTGGATTCGTCAAGTGGATGCTCTAAGAATAGAAAATTAATGCTTTTTTACTTCAACTATAAACGAGCTATCTACTTTGCCATATATTTTCCGTTAATATATGTATTTCATTCATTAACTTACAAATAGATTTAAATCAATGGGAAATATTATTTTCATCTGACTTAGAGAAATTATTAAAAATTTATCTATGTAAGCAAAAATCATCCATTTTAATTTCAATAAAGAACTAGATTGTACGAAAAGAATAAATTCTGACAAAATATATGCACATTTTTTGTTAGCTTTATAACATACTATCTATAATCAGTTTGTTTAAATCTAAAACACCAGGGAGCTAGTGTTCAGCATGTCAATGTTTGTATATGTTGTTTTTGTAAATGACAATGTTTACCACAATTATAGACATATAAAATATAATTGTGAAACTCGGTTTTCTTTTTATGATTTTTTCTACCAAGAAATATCTTTTATTCGGTATATCGTTGAATAACTTTGTATTACATTTTGGGTTTATAGGATTGATAATTTGACATATTTACTATGTGACTAATTTCTTTTCAAAATACTGAAAATAGATATTTATTTATATGAACATATGTTGTTCAGAAAGAAAAAAATCAAAACAAAAACTGGAAATTCTCTTTTCGAAAACCAGTTTTCTGTTTTCAAACTAGAAAAGGCACGTTGAATACCTATTCCAATGCTTCAATCATAGACATAGTTTATGGACTCGTTAAATTTAATGAGTATTATATATATATATATATATATATATATATATATATATATATATATATATATATATATATATATATATATATATATATATATATATATATATATAAATTTTAGATATTTTCTATCAAAGGAATACAATCATCTATGCTCTGACAAAACAATGGATAGAATTGTTTTCTTTTTTTCCTATTTCAAATGGTACATTTTCAAAACGAATTTAACAAATTATGTAGTCGATGAATATTAGGAAAGTTGAAGATTTTAGAAAAGTATGATAATAATAAACGGAACATTCTTTTTGTCACCAAACTATGGGTGAGAAAACCTGTGACAGAATAATTGCGATAATCAATTCATGAGATGACAAAATTAATTTACTGCAAAAAAGAGATGGTGACAAACATTTGAAAAATTGTATTTTATGTAATAAATACTGTAAGATTCCTTCACGTAATCCATGTATTATAAGTGAAATTGTTCATAGTCAGACTACGGATTATGTAGCGAAATATTTATTACCTGATTACATGATTGTAATCAAAAGTTCTTATATAGTTGTTAAAATAAAGTGCTCAAATGTTTCATGTTTAAATATCATCTTATAACTTTGAATAAGAAAAACAAGACAATTCATTCTGATAAGACAATTCCCGTCCCCGCGTCTCAAGCTTGCTGAATTGTGTTTGTTTATTGTTTATTAACTCAATAGGTTCCTCTAGTTATTTTATTCGGGATTTTTTAAATACTGACATAGGGTCTGCACTGAAGACAGTGTAAATGAAGTCAATAACCTGCTGAGCTATGGTTAACATGCTGAATAATACGAAAATTTCATATAGTAAAGTATATTTTTTCCTCCCAGACAATATAATAAAATAAACATTACCTGTACATACTAACACACACATCTATACATACCTTTGAATAATGGACTAATATTCCAAACAGAAATTGGACCTAAACTAGCGAACTGACCGAAAGCGAATTCCAGAAAAAATAATGGTAATCCAAGTAATGCTAACATTAATGTATATGGAATTAAAAATGCACCTAAAAATTATATTAAATAAATAAAACACAATGAAATACTTTTTTCATACCACACATCATTTAAATATCATAATTAAACATGATCAAAATTGTACAAGTGTTACGGTAAGTACGTTCAATTTTCATTATATACATTGCTAATCAGAAAACAAAAACTAAAGTACAGTAAAATTTCATTAATTTTATGCAATTTAAATAGTTCAAATAATGAGTCAATTGAAGATAGACCACCATGGAAAACCTGGAAGCACCGGACGACAGTTCCGGGATCGTGGATGTGCAATGCTGAGAAATCCCACAATAGGACGAAACGGCCATCCATTGCTTCCAGATTTTCCATGGTGGTCTAGCTTCAATTGACTCATGATTTCAATTATTGAAATTTCTGAAATCTCCACAAAACCCCTTCTGATTATGTAATTTAGTTAATATGATACATTATTTAATATATAATAAGTAGTATATCAGAAAAACAAATCTAAAATGTAATAAAATCATCTCCACTTAAGGCATTAATTTGCCATATGCAGGGACAAAATCACATAAAATTTATCTCAAATTAATTTGTATCGAAATTCTATCACATTTTAAGATTTTGTGAAAGACAAGACCAATATAAGGACGTTATAGAGTTTGGAAATGATTATCTGGGAGATTAATATTTTTTAGCTCTAAAGTATATTTATTCTCTTATTTTAAAGGTTATTAATTATCATATCTTTCTCATTGCTCAAATTATTGCAAATTAATCACAGGTCAATTATTCAGATCATTAGAGTTAGTGTTATCATTTGATACATGGGATTTCTTGTTCATAGTGGATTGTAGTCTTGTTGATTTGTATAATTAATCATGTGAGTAATTTGAGAATAACATTGAAGTGCAACAAGTTTTGTAAACGGAATTCGTTCTCAAATAAAAAGCCATTGATTGCAGCCTGAAACTACTCAAGTGCATTGTGGATACTTCTTTGGTATATCGGGTATTATTAGTGGTTACGTTGTCTCAAACAAGCAAACGCCTCTGAACATACTTCAGTGGGTTGACAACCTAATCACTGGACAGAAAGGACATCCTTTTCAAACTCATTCATACAATCGCTAAACCTTATATCTCTGTCTGAATATCGAAAAAAATGGAAATCTCCTCTTCATTTGCGTTTATTCGCTATTTCTCTAACATAAACACAGAACATGAATTGCAATCTCTACAACATTACAATATGGGAAAAGAGGGCGGTTGTTCACGAAAACGTTTCTTCTATTCCCAGAAGTGTTCAAAAATACGTTCAGCTTCCCAAGATATTTTGTGATCAATACTATTGGCAAAAATAGTATTTGGAAAAATTAGCATTCAAAAATTAAAATAGAAAAATGACAAACAATTGGTTGCCTAACATAAGGCTGTTAATGAACTAACTTATCAAGTTTGATAGGTAAGTGGTTTTTTAATCATTCGTAAATTATTTTGATAAAATCCAAACTTGTTTGTGATTTTGACACAAACATTTTCATTATTACATCGTACTATCATAAACATATAAATAAAATAAAAAACCCACCAAATACTATCGTTTGCAAGCTCATGAATGATCTTTTTGAATACGATTTTACTAAACCAGTGGGACAAATAGACAGCCTTTAAGGAGATGCAAACGTCTAAAAAACTTAAGGATGTTCCCATAAAACAATTGATTCAGTATCAAAAATATCTGTCTAAAGCTAGCCGTGTGCCAGAATTCATCTTAAAAACATATCGTTCTTAGGGATTTGAAAAAGAAATCAGTCAGAATTTTCTTTGTTTTTCATATATCTGCCTTTTATGACATACATAACGTTAGGTGAATAAAAATCATATTGAATATTTCATGCCTATTTTATTTTCATCAAAGATACATTTTTCTGGATTATATTTAACTGACAAAGCAGTGTAACTATTTTAGAGAAGATTCACATCGTTTTGATACATATTTTCATTAAACGACTATTTAAGATCTCTAAATAATGATGAATGACATAGATTTTACCAAATTTTATCTGATGCTTTTCTGTATTTGTCAAGGATATACGATGTTTTTCTATCCAGTGTGATGATTATTCAGTTTAACATTCCTTCATATTTAATTAATGTATTCGTACTAGTTTAGCGCAAAAGTCCATATTTTTATAAAATTTTCCACTATATTTTGACTGACATGTGACACATGTCAGGTACATTTTGATAGAAATGAATGTAATTGGTTAAGAAATTACTGTTGCTCTTTTTGGAAAGAGAACGAAATATTAATCTGCTGTCAACATTAGGTTCATGCTTGCATTGTCTTGTATATCTGAGAAGTAAATTCACTTACCCCATATTGTACGACACTTAGCCAGGCTGACCGAAGTCTTCAACTTCTGGACGCCATTATCGGGTGAACCACAACCAGGTAGTTCGTACCTACCTACATGGCTAAGTTGAAATATCAATGACTTAATAGACAAATACAGAGTTTTGTTTTTGCCAACACTAAGCTTTCTTCTAACGTATTTCTGTTACTACACAAGACTTAATTGCTCGTCGAGGTAGGCGGTGGTCGGGTATGATTAAAACAGGTTTCAATTACCTCAATCGGCGAAGATTCCCTACCTTGTGAATTGCTCTGAGATATTTAATTAGAACCCGATGTCTAGTTTTAGTATTACTCAGTTGGTTGTACAAAATATATGAGCAATGCTTTGAAGATACTCATGATTGAATATTAGCAACCTAAAAATATCATCCATTATTAATCGCGATTTTAAAATCCATTAGGGAGAATATGGCGAATTACTGAGAAGTAAACTCGTCCTTTAGTTGGCAAACAGAGACCCTCCCTATGCCATAAGAGATTGAAGTTGAAAGGAGCCAACTGAGCTTTTTGAATTCGCGTCAATAGTTGACTGCCTGTTAGTGACTAAATAATGATTATAAATAAACTCCTATAATTACAAGTACAGAATGTCAAAGATCAGAACATAAATAAAACATGAAAAAAGATAGTGAACTGGGCCTTTTATACCACAGTAAGATATCAATTAAAATTATTTTCCTTTTAGAATCAGTGACCAGAGTGAAAATTTCTAAACTGTTGTCACTTTATGGTCCGACACTTGTAAATGCTTGCAGCTTAATAATTTAAAATAGAAGAAAAACGACTACTTGTTAACAACAGCAAAATTTGTTATTCTCATCCTTACTATATTTTCTTGTTATTTTCTTAACTGTTAAACTAATTATGGTCAGTTTTCCTATTTCGTGAAACTTGTGTTCTGGCTTTGTCAGAGACCTGATACTGACATAAATTGTTGCAGAGGGTGTGATCATCTACTTTCAGGTGATTCCAAGATTATGTATTTGGCAAGAACAACAATATTATATATACCTTATCACAAATCATGAACCACACATCGAAACAATCTAATAATATTTAGAATTTTAACTGGTACAATATACAGCCATTTCTCAGTTCATCATTATTGACTAAACAGAAGTAATATAAATATAATGAAAAAAAATGAAGGAATAAATGTTTAGTTAGGAAAGTAATCACTATACAAGAAAATCTAAGCTTGAATTTTCCTTTTTATCACCTTATACTTTTTTTTAAAAACCAAACACAATTGCTGATCACCATTCACAAAATGACTGTAAGAGATGTACTCATCTAGTTCTAAATTTATCAAAATGAACTGTTTTGAGTTAGCCAAGGTTAAACATGTTCATAATTTGTATAAAAAAAACCATATTTTGTCCAAAAGCTCAATAAAAAAAATCGATGTATTAAATATCTGAAATAATACCTTCAATGTGTACTATAGTAAGACCATTTTATATACCATGATCATACTGGAACTATAATTAAGGACTTTAGATGGTATCTAACGCTAAAAACTAAGTATTGTTTCAACAGAACTTCTGGTAAAGCAGTTACTTAGTTTTCATTTATCCCAGTGTTTGCCGTGAGACGATTATCATAAAATTTATGTGGCATACAATAGCAAATATAAATGACACTGTCAGCTTTCAACAGACCAGTGCTGCTTGGTAGTATGTCTCACTAGAATTTCCAGACAGAAAATAATACCAGACTACTGTTTTAATAATACTCCTTTGGACTATTACACTGACTTAACACCATCCTAAGTACAAAGCAGTTGAATCATGAGAATCTCGTTACTAGAAAAAAGAACTTTACTGTTCCTAACGGAAGCCATAACAATGATGTAAACCAATATTGGAATATATATTCACAACGATAACCGGGAAAATGTTTATCTTTTCAAATCTATTTTACCAACAGTTTGAATGAGCCAATTCAATGAATGTCTTGTTGGAAAAAACATAAACTTGTTATTTAAAAAAAGGAATTAACTGTTTCCTTCAGAATGGAGTATTATATAATTCCTTGCAAATGCACTATTCATTAACGTACACTGAAATAGTCTGGAATATTTTTGGAAACTAGTTTTCAGTTGTTATCCTTTTGACATGAGAAATTATCATAGAGAGTATTGTTTTTAATATCTTTCGTCAATATAGCATTGTACGTCATTGATGAATAAATAGTCCGACTGTTTTTAACCATTTAACCAATGTGTGCGTATATTTACATCTCTCCTATTTTCTACGATTCTTGCATCAATGTTAAAGTATGAAGTTGAAAAACTCAAAAATATTCAAAAACAATATTTTGTTCTAAGTAGCATATAATTATCAGTGGAAAATGGCGAGTACCAGAGTAGCGTTGTTATACGCAGCAGTAAAATATATCAAGTATACAGACGATTTGATAACACAGAATGAATCCGTCAAATAAATAATATTGAAACTCAAGATCTGGGAGAAAATAAAGAGTGAATGCAACTGGAATCGAAAACGTACACTAACAAATAATCGTATTAAATACCACTTTACTTCAATCTGTCAGTGATCATTATTTACGTAGGATATTCACGAGTCATATTTCGTCTTTTTTTTTTCACAAAAAATCCTTTTATAGGAAAGTTAGTAAAACTGATTGCACTAATGTACTTGTAAAAAGTCTATTACGCATTCCAAATGATTTTGTCAAAATAAAAATGCTCCATTTAGTATGTATTTATTAAATTTCACTGTTTAATAAGGATTTTCATTGAAGTTTAAATTATCACATACAGCAATAGCTGAATGTGGGTTTTGTTTACAAATCTTGTCTCATATGATATAAGAACGAGATATTTTTATGTCAAATAGAGATATTATAAAAACGTCTTTTTATGATGACGCCAATCACTGATAAGTAAATTCGCCTGTTTTTCAGCAGTACTAATGACGGATACTACTTATTTACCCTGAGTTAATGAATTATATACTAGACATTTCAGTGTTACAAAATATCTTTCTTTGATGTTTATAGTATTTATGATATATAAGGAAACAAAAGTTCTTTATATCACGAATTATGTATAGATTAAATGAATTATTCGTTTACCAAATGGTCACTATGAACATTTATGAAAATGGCCGGCCAAACTGAAATAGCGATGCATATTCACGGAAGCTACTTACAATCTAAGCCCAGAAAGGACTCAAACGTAGAAAGGTTAACAGTTGAACGTCAACTCAATGATTAGAATTACTGGTCCTGTGTTCCCTCAACAGTGAGGTCTTGTATACGCATTGCTACGTTTTGAATGAACCCCAGGTGGCACCACAATGGGACGACACAGTTGTTCAATGTCTTCTAGTCTACAGTGGTTTCCTAACCAAGATAAATACCTGAGGTAGGACATCAAACTCCGCCATCGTTAGGACAGATGAATGCATTGCCATTCCTGTGTTAGTACTCACTTCAAGTAACGAACTCAGTTCCAACCTCAAAGTCCTAACACGTTAGCTACTGAGTCCAGATGGCTGCTAACTTGTATAACGCGCACGAATTAGTTTCATTTGTAATTGTCTGAATCTTCCCATCGATGATGTTAAGAACTGCAGTTAATCAGTATCAATCGCCCAATAAATGATATATTGAGCATTCGAAGCAAAAAGTACTGGGCTCAAATTTTAATATGAGGATGAAATCCCGTTAATAAAACAATCTACCTGAATTTATATTTTTGTTCTCAGTCATATTTGTTTCATACAACATTCAGATACACATAACTTCATAGGATGTATGTTATAATTTATAAAAAAAGAACGAAATAACTGAATACATCTACTAAACACAATAAGTTTAACTGTGAAATAGTAGTTTGCACTAATATAAACAAGTACAATCTGTCTATGCCGATTTACTTACTTGATAAACTCTGTTTGAGATCATTCAAAAGTGATTATACTCGTAAATAAATGGAGTATAAAAATCTAAAACATACTTATTACTCACTTTTTGTATGATACTCCCAAAATCTGCATGCATACTTATATGCAAATAGTAAACTCAAAAGGAAACACAACCATAGAAACCAATATTTTTAAAATTAAAACCGATCATCTGAACTAATGTGACAAAACGTCTTAGGGTTGAACGGTTAAATTAATTGATATTTTGTTAGTTTAAACCACAGTTATACAAGAAATAGAGGATCGTCGCACAGTATAGAGGATTGAAATTAGACTTGGACGTTTAGCTGCGAGTATGAATGTTTCTGGTTCAACTGAGGAATCCCATAATTAGACAAAGTAGCTGTCCAATGACACCAGGTTTTATATAGTTGTTTGGAATCTTAAAATCACCTAACAATCTTCACAAAGCCCATTATTGATCATTTTGGTTTAAATGAGTGTAGTCCTATTCCATATGGGTGATTTCTACATATAATTAGAGAGAATATGGTAAACTGATGTGATGATACTAATACATTTTATTGGTCAGGTTGATGCATATCTAAACATTTGTTCGAAACAGCAAATTGACGCAAATGAGTGAAACAATTATAGAAATTTACAAACATCTTCTAAAAGCAATTTGGTTCTGTAATATAAACTTCACAATGGATTATCAAGAAACAATAATATGATATATTTTACGGAGCAGACAAGGTTAATTGAGCATAATAGATAATTCAATTACTTATACGAGTAGAATCTTACTGACCTCCACCATTTTTAAAACACAAGTATGGAAAACGCCAAACATTCCCCAAACCGACAGCATAACCAATACATGTCATCATGAATTCCAATTTCCCATTCCAGCCACCTCGCTCAGTTGAATTCTGGCGTACTAGGATTACTTCACCGCTATTTCCTGTCCCATCTTGAAGTGGTACCGAAGACTAAAAAATGAAAATTAGTTGAAAATAACTGATGATGAAACGATATTTATGTTGAAGATCGGGTTGGTCGTATATTTCGAGTATACTTTATGGGTTTCAATAATGTCAGAAACACCCAAATATTTAAGTCATTTTGTACATCACTCCAGCTGACAAGCCCTAGATAGGACGAAACGTGCTAGCCACCACCCATCTCTGCCTATAATAATCCAAATATTTGCTTGGTTAAAACAATTAAAAGAGCTAATAATTCCTTTCATACAGTTTATAAATTGCGCAAAATAAATGCTATTTCTGTTGACGCTCATAGAAAGCGCACGATTCCTTGTCCCAAAAGCTATGATTTTGCTCAAACTGATGTGACTTTATGTCTTATTAACACGGTAGCTTGACTTACTGTATTTTTGTTCGGATTTCCATCATGCGAAATGCGCATGCCATGGTCGTCTGATAAAAAACATCCATCAACATCCTGTGCTTTCCTGTCGGTCATCCGACAGACTTAGAGTGTACACGATTACTATAATCCAAACGGCCAAAACGACAAGTCCACAGTGGCGCAACGCAGCAGCCTTGAAACAGTGGCAAAAATCGAAATAATTATTTTAGCCTAGCATTGTCAAGGTCAATATTTGAATCGCCATGTCCACCTACGCAAATGGAATCAGTTTATTGGTGTTTTATTTCAATATATTGAACTGTCCAATCATTATCAGGGTTTATCTTCAGGAATGACCTTGAATACAATGCCCAATAATAACATAGGTACTATTTCTTTTTAAGGTAGACAATCAGATCAAATTTAACTTTAGGAATCCAGAAAATTGTCTGGAAATATGAGGAAATCTGAGTTCTTGGTTTGAGCCATGAAAAGTATCCAAACATTGAAGATACCGAATCAAACTCACCATCAGTTCAATTCAGTAAAACTCAATTAATAATACGTCAATAACGTCCTTTATTACTGAAACCTTAATCACTGTATCCCACTGAAATATTTCGAATAATATAAAGCCACATGTGATCTGTCAAACCCATGCTTTCAATTGTAAACTATGGTTAAATTTACAATTGAATGTGAAAGGTTCTTGTAATATATAATCGTATTAAAATTACCTGGACAATAAGTTAGTAAAAGCGATAGTCGGTTGGCAAAACAATTAATATCTTGAATATTTCATTTCGTCTAAACTGAATCGTTCTAATCAGAAAATCTCAAAAGCACATTTAGATACTAAGTATAGAAACAGGTAGGTTAGATAGAATATTCGCGTGTATTAGAACTGGCACGTGAACCAATCATCCCTAGGTTGGTGAACTGGAATCCATTCGTATACATGTCTGATTTTAATCGATCATCGAAGTCGCACCACCATCTTCCATTGTCTATCTACCCATCTCACACCTAACACGATTAAAATCTGAGCATTTCCTCTCAGAGCTAGTCACCAGTCTGTACATGATAACTATCAGCTTAAAGTTGTGAATATTGGTGGATTTCAATAAAATAAAGAAACAGTTCGAGCGAGACCATTTAGGTTGGTTAATAATCTCGACGAGTATGTAATCCTTTATTGTACTCCGTAAAATTGCTAATTAATTCATTCAACTAAGTTTACATCACATTATAAAATGAGTTTCCATTTTTACTTTGTAGCGAGCGTCTTAAAAGACGTTAAAAATATACACTGATGATCACAATTTATTTCTAGACTATTACTGAACGCAGGTTTTATGTGTCGACGACATATTAATGAATGTTGCATAATGTCTACATTAGAACAAACAGAAATATGAAGTTTAACAAAGGAGCAGTATAAATATGAAATTCTGGCTTTCAACGAAATATTCTATTTACATGCTTGCGAAAATTGTATATTTTCGTAAAAATATGCTGGAAAAACCGAAGGTATTAAAAAATATTCCCATCATCTAAAATAAGGTAACATATAATTTTGTTCTATAATACATGGTCGGTTATAAATACGCGTTAAATAGAACCAAAGTATTGGGAGCAGCAGATTGGATATCTTGAGGTTTTTCTAGTAACGTTTATTTCGTCTCTTACGCATAGCGGAAACTGTAGATTCGAACCTAAACCATAGACTTTGTGCCTAAAACATCTATAATTTCTCTGTTATTTCCTTGATCAGCGGAACTCTATCAGACTTGTTAATTCTTTCTACGCTCTACACATTTCTCCTCTACCCGTTTTCATTTCTTCTTAACTACCAACTTCTTAATACATAATCATTATTGTTAATTTTTGCAATGGATTTGTTTTTTCAAGGTTTTCACCTAATTCCAATGATGAAATATTTGCTAATATCATCATATTTTTAATTATCCTAAAAAGTACTACAAGACTTGTGGTCTTATTATCAATGTATACTTTTCATTCGTTATTAATTAGGGTACAATGTATTTCATTTTTACCACTGACTTATAAATAGACTTGAACGGTTTATTAGTTTTCATATACACATATAAATACATTACAATATATTAAAGTTTGATGAAGATCTAATCAAAACAGTCAAAAACAATATTATCAATTTATGTGTTGTTCTGAATGACTTGACTTCAAAAAGCTCGTATTACCACTGTGAATTTTGTTGAAACTTCTAGGTTTAGGAATCACGATTTTCACTTGTCTGTACACACAGTATTGTCTGTGATCAATATTATTCAAATCGAATTAATTACGCTCTATCATATTGCTTATACTTGAAAATGAGGAACTCCTGAAAGTTCTATGAAACGAAGGTAAAACACTCGGAAAACTGGTGCAATGAAAATTTATAGACTTCGAAAGCATGAGATTAAATTAAATACTTTTATATTTAGACTCATTTTACGTACAGTCGATGATTAGTTAATAAACACTATATAAATGTAAAGATACGCTAGTTCACTGTAGACACAAACTTCACATAGAATAACACAAAGAATGTGAATGTTACACTAGGCGAAGTTCATATTTGCCATACTGAACAAAAAATTAAACTTGATTATTGCGAATAAAGTATGAACTTGTCTGACTATCCCGATTTATCATGTTTGTCTATTAATCTTAATAAATTCCACAATTAATCATCAATGAAATTCCAGATTTGGTAAATCTAAAATATCAGTATTGAATGTATTAAGATAAATGCTCCAAATAATATGTAACCACTTAGATGAGTAAAACAGAAGTGATTGAACCCAAGTTTATACTGGAATGATGAGAAATATCTTCAACCTATTTCAAGAAGAATTGGTTAGTATTATGCAAAATATTATCTCATGAATAAATTGTTGCTATTGCCTTTCGTAACATAACAATGAAGATTTCGAATGGATCTCAGGACGGATTCGCTCTTACAGTCTATTCTCGTCAATATTGCTTTTCCCACCATGGTTCTATTTTAATTCAGTCAGACATATGAATAGTTATCAAAGGGGGTTTGTGGAGATTTTAGAAATTTTCACAGTGCTTCCAGGTTTTCAGTGGTGGTCTAGCTTCAACTGACTCATGATTTCAATCTGTGAAAATATGAATAGTTGTCTACAATTATTTGAAATAATACGTAATGTACATGATGACTGTCAATTTTATTGAACAGTTAATTGTCTCATTATATTAAAAAATTTATCTACTGAATTAGTTTATTTCGGGACCTGGGTTTTACCCAACTAACTAAACAAAAAAAGACATTTGCAGGTTTGTTCATTTTGTTTTTCTAAAACCTCTAAAAAATTTCAACAGATTTCTAAAAATACTCACATTGCTCCTAGTTAGGGTTAGATATTTAGAGTAGAACTTATGGGTTTAGGGTTAGGGTTTTAATCACAAACTGACATCAGCCACAATATAAGGTTGCTATTTGGATAGGTGAATTTTCCTCAAACATATCAGACACTAATTAATTAGTTCATACGCATAGTGTAGTTTTATCAAGTTAAGGTTTGTTTCAAGATCAAATGTCTTGTGTTAAAGTGTAGGGATAGTACCAATTCGCTTGTTACATACAATTTAAAGAGAAAGAATGAAGCGTTTGATATGTCAAAACTATCAATATTACTACATGATTGTGAACAATAAGTTCTCATTTTCTTTTATATGTTTTGAACAATTTACGTAGTATTTTTGTTATTCGTCATACTTTATATTCGAATTTTGCTAAGAAACCTAAAAGTCATGTTCTTGATTCTGATTGGTGCATCCCTTGTGATATGAACAGAGAAACAAGAAGCCACGACAAACTACAGAAGCTATTTTGGAGGACGTTATTTCATGTAATTCAAAGCTTGCGGAACAGTAACATTTATTTTTGTCCCTAGTCTATTCTATAGACCATAAGCTTTCGTTTGATGTATGATTCATTGCCATAGCATTTTCTGTTCTAGAGCTATTGTAATTTAAACGCAATCTTTTGTACTACATTTTCTACTCTAATTCCCAGCTTTGGACATAATTGTGTTTTCCTAATTTTTTGTGCGTTGTGGTGCGGTTAGTCATCTATTTATTCATGTATCATTTTGCACTAATCTGGAATCGGGGACCAGACCGGAATTGAGAATAAATCGAGTAGTGTTCCAGTTGGCTTGTCTTCTCTCACTCGCGTGCTTGTCAGCCAATCAGGTGATAGAACAGCTTTCGTCTCTCTACTCCAAGTAGTTGGTGTCACTTCAAACTCACTCATACTAGCCTCAAAGTTAAGCCATTCATCCTATTGCGTCAAGGTCTTAATCTAGATTAGACAAGTTATTCTGCACAAAAGTGGGTAGACAGACTAAGGACGTAACGCCTTGAATATATACTTACTAAATATCGGTGCCCGTTTCTACTTGGATGATACGATTTTTTACTGGCTTTGTAATTGGTGTTGAACATAACAGATGAAGATTACCATCAGGTGTATGGATAAGAATTTGTAGTTATGTCATCTTTATCTATAGTGCTTTCCTTTCAACTAGCCTGACTAATTATTTGAACACCAAAAAATAATATTCAGCCTTCCCGTAAATAAACACCGCCTGTAGATCTTCTAGCGTTACTGATTGGGAAAGAGGGATGAAAATGACAGCACTATATTCCCCCACAAACTCATGCAAAAAACTACACAGGTCTCACAGGATCACACTACAAGTAACCAGACCCATCATATAAATGTTTCGCTAAAAAATTCAGAAGGACAATAGATGTGAGAACCAGGAAAGCAGCTGACATAGCTTCAGATCACCACCTGATGGTTTTAAAGATGACACTGAAACTAAAGAAGCACTGTACAACTGGGGAAATATCATTGCAAAAGTTCAATACAGACTTCATTCAAGATATTGACAAACTCAATGAATTCCAGATGGTTCTCAACAACAGGTTCCAAGCCTTACAAGATATACTTAAAGAAGAAACTACTATGGAGGACAACTGGGAAGGGATCAAAGAAGCACCAACTTCAACGTGTTAGGAGATGCTGGGCCGAAAGTAGCATCATCATCAAGAATAGATCTTATAGAAACCCTGGACAAGATTCAAGAAAGGAAGAAAGAGAAAACAGTGATTCACTACAGACGAACAAGAACACAGACAGT